ATACCACTAAACGATCGTCAGCACCTGAATTGGACTGGTGCAACTATACATGCATACCTAAGGACCAGAGGCCATATGACACTGACATCGTTAACCGAATCCTTGTGAGTGCTCCAGTCTAACGCCCTCACTAGCTCCCAAAGTGCCTTGCGCATTGACAATGCCCCACTAGGGCAATTAAGGTAACCTGGGTATACCCTAGTATAACTGGACTCACTAAAGTGAGGACATCCTCTCATTAGATGCTATCTCACTTGTTGTTTATCTAGAACATTATGTGAAGGCTTATTGGTATAATACTGCTACTATTTATTACGTTGATCCCTTCTGGTCACTTATTACTTAAGGGTATTTAATAATTACTTGCCTCTAGCGAAGTCTCTAAATGTTCTCGGGGTTTTATGATGATTTCAGTAGTTGTTGAACACTGGCGGTAATATTCGCTAGCTCGATACCTGACTCAGTTTCAACTCTGAGTAGTGACACTCTAATCACTCTTATTGAACTTCCTTTCAATACCCCTTGAATTAAAATGACGACTTACACCTCCTAGGTTCACTAACGTTTTTGAAGCTCTTTTTTCTATCTCTAAATCTGACGTGCTCATTGTACCACTTGTCCATACATCCCCTGCAATGATCCTCGTTCCCAACTATTCACATACGTGCTCGACTAAAGATGACATATTTTTTCAAGTACGGTTACATCGGTGGTAACCTACTCCAATGAGTATTCCTAAGTATGTTTGGTCATTTATGTCCCTCACGGACAAAGTCTTACTAATACGGATTGTCCTTAGCTCTCACGGGCCTTAACCATGTCAAATATAACCATCCATAATGAGTAGTATAGATACTCCACTTGCAGTATCGATACCCTAGGTCCAGTATCAATACCCCTATGAGTATCTGTACCAAAAATGCATTTTGTTTCTAAAAATTAGGCCATGTCTCGGGACCAACACTCTGATTCTTGAGACTGAAGGGGCAGTATCGATACTCTCATAGTAGTATTGATACTCTCAGCTTGAAATCCCTAAATTTTTCTATAATTCATCTAATATCAGTATTGTTCATCCCGATATTGATACTCAAACCCTAAAATGGTTTTTCAGGCTCAGAAAAACACCCAAAAATCATTCTAAAGGCCATAGTTTTATTTCTAATCATGTACTAAAATTTTAGGAGTTAATTAGGGTCTTAAAGTAGCATAAAAACGTCTTCTAAACTTATAAAACATCATTTGTTCATAAAACTAAATATAAAACCCTAAAATGCTTAAATACTCAAATCCTAACAAAACTTCATATTTATAATAATCTTAACACTCCAAAGGATTAGAAATACACTATCTTGGTGTTGAAACCCGAAATCAAGTCCCTTTCTTAGCCAAACTCCTTTCCTTGGTGATTTTGATGAAAACTCCCACTTTTATTTATCTAGGAATAAACCAAAACTTTGATTCATTAAAAAGACATTGCTGGAGGGATTATGAACGAAAATAAAGTATGAAAAGGGCTCAATACATTACCTTTAGCTTAGCCTTTGAAGATGAAGAGAATAAGGAAAATGAAATAAATGGAAAGGAGAAGAAAATGAAAGAACTATATAAAAGCTTCATCTTTAGAAAATTGAATAATTTAACCTTTGGTTCTTCCTTATTTTCCAGAATTAAAAAACCCCTTTTTAGCTAATTGGGCTTCGAACCTACCCAATTAAACTCAACTCGGCCCAATGAATTAAAATATGAAATTCATTATGGTCCACTTACCTCTTGGGTAAACTCAAAACTTCTAGCCCAAAATTTGGGGGTGTTACAACTCTCCCCTCCTCGAAAGAAATTTTGTTCTTGAAATTTACTCAGTTCAAACAACGACCCATCCTTAGGTCAAATACTTGTAAGCCTTGAAGCACCAAACTCATATCTTCATGTACCTTACTGAAAAAGAATCACTGCAACATGACTTACAACTCAGCAACTCAACAACTCACAACTGATCTATGATCCCTTTTTCTTGTAGGATGTTAAGTGCGTCAATTCTTAAGCAACAACCTTCGAGAAGCGCAAAAACATCGAGCCTTACTCGAGTTGTCCTAACTTTGAATACTTAGAACATTTCATAAGGAGGACGCTACTCTACGACTTTACTATTATCACCAAAACCTTCTCTGGTTAACCTTACTCAATCGAGATAACTCACTGCATAACCTGTTAACCTCCAATACCTATTGAATGTAGGCAACTCGTCATGCTACGCTCTGTGATCTTATGGCGAAAAATCTCAACTCATATCGATCTCTATGCTTCTGTTGTGCAACTATGATTCAATAATCATTTGGGCAACAAGATTGTTTATTGATTTCCTTACACTTACATAGGTGTCAGTTACTGACTTGTGCATCCAAGGTACTCACAACTGGAAATCGACCACTTGCCTAGCGAAACTTGCAACATCTGGCTCTACTAGAGAGCACGCCACACCAAATGGAGAGCTCTCGCAATTGCACTCTGACTTAAGGATTCTAAGACTTTTCGTCTTACAATCATTATCGCTTACCACCATAGAACTATCTGATGACGACTAACACTAGTCGAACTATGCTTAGCGCACTCGATCTCTTTTAGTATGAAATACTAAAATCTATGGTACTACGCAACGCTATTTAGCTCACGTTCATACAGTAACACAAAAACACCACTGACAGGGCTTGACTGACCTAGCTAAATCACTTAGTGTTCGTGCACGAATGCATATGGATGGAATCATAGGGTTCTCTACACCTCGACAATCGCACCTCAAGACTCTCAACTCGATATCTTACCTATGTTATCCTTTTTACGTAGGGTGGAATTTCGGAACTACTACATCGGAACAAACATCCTGCTAACTTCCACCTCGCAAGTACTTGGGTATTCTTAACACTCTTGTGGGAATACTTGCACCTAAGATAATAATTTTATAAAAATTTTAAAAAAAAAACATATTATCAATAGAAAATATAAAGAAATTTATAGACATATGATTAAGATTTGAATTTTTTTAGAAATAGTTGAAAATCTGTTATGGTATGTTTAGAATTTTTTTACAAAAATTTAAATGTTAATATTTAAAAATATTATTCAAAATTTAATATGTATAATTATTTTGTTCAGATAAAGATATATATGTTAAAAATAGATTATTTGAAGTCAATAGTTTTTTTTGAAAGAAAAACTAATTTTATTCAAAATAGGAAATATCTCAAATTACTAAATCATTAAAAAAACTAGCAACTAAAGATCACTGAAAGATTAAAAATCTAACCAAGAAACTTTGAACAAATATAGATACAAATAGATCTGATCACATTGATAAACTAACCAAAAAAGGCGATCAAGCTATTGAAAGACCATCGACAAACCGTAAATCAGACTCGAGCGACTTGAAAAGCTATCTACGAATGTAAATCAGATATCCAAATTCAATCTAATGGTCCAAAGCAGGGAAGATCAACAAGATATCAGAAAAGCGTCATATTGACCAGTCGTGGCAATGTCAAATCAAACCTTAGAAAAAAAGATAAATGAAAAACGACTAAACAACTGAAAAACTTACCAAAAAACATAAAAAAATGTGTCATAAAAGTATATGAAAATGTGTCATTCAGGCAAACTTATTGAAAATAAAAAAAACTAGAGATATGATATATAAAAGAAAAAGACAATAAATAATACCATTATTCGGCAACCAATATTAAAGTTGGTGTCACCGTCGATCAACAAAGATGAAAAAGAAAAGAGATTAACTGCACATCAATAAGAGGAAACTAAATTTTTTTATAATTAGTTGAAGTCAATGAGTTAAAAAGATAATTATACAAGAAGAATAATGATCTTAAAATAATATTTTATTTTATAGTGGGGAGATATGTATTAAATCAAACAAGATTAAGTTCAAATAGATTAGGAACCTGTTTATTATTTTTAAAATTTAGAATTTAGTTCTTATACATTTTTTTTACGAAATAGCCTATATTATTTTTATTTGATTCTCTCCCCTACCTTAGGTTCAATTATACTATTAATAGCTGGCGTCACATCTACATAAAGGCATAATATCTTTTTTAGTCCTCTAAGTTTATAATTTTTTAATAATTTAATCTTTAATCTTTATAAATAACTAAAATATTATCATTAATTAAATAATAATAGTTTTCGATCACCGTATATATCTTTTTAAGGGTTAAACTGATAAAAATTATAAACATAGAAGATTAAAAAACAAATCTTAAATACTTATATACTTTAAATAAAGTAAACACTCTTTTTCTCCGAAATTTTTATTTTTTCCCCATTAAATACAGTAGCAATTTTCAGTAAATTAACTTTAACAAACGTCCTTTAATAAAATAAACGCTTTTTTAATATAAAAATATTAAATGTTATAAAAAAATAAATCTCAAAAATGTATCTGAACCTAACATTAATATCAGAAAAATTAATGATATCATTAAAATACTATCAAACCTTTCAATTCATAAGTTAGAAGAGGGATTTGGAACCATACTCGTTTTAGTATATATTGGTGGAAGATTTTTTTTCAATAGTCTGAGTCGATTAGAAAGATAGTATCTATTCATAATTTTTCGTATTAACAATACATATAGTTTATAGACGCAGCTACTCGAATCCAATTCATATAAGAAGAATAACTTTTCCATTTACGATCCCAAATAATTGTAGAGCTTTTTTATTTGAATCTGACCCTACTTACAGAGATGGACCGAGAGAGCTATATTTTCTATTAAAAATTTATTTTTACTCTTAAAATTTTATAAATTTGTCCGGTTCATCCCTACCTACTTGTAGTATCCCGAATTCACATGTTTTATTCCTCGGATTTCTTTATGATGTTATCTGGTGCATGATTGAGAGCAAAACGTTGACGGGTAGACGAAGCTGAAACTCACGTGCCTTTAACCTAATTTTACGTTCAATTTTGTGTATAAATTTCAAACCGATGCTTTTGTTTACCATGTGCGAATCCTTTTAGTTTCTCCGCATGTTTTGGTATTTTCAGTATTCCACCATGCCATCACTCGACACATTCTTCCTTCGGGATTTCGTTGCTGCAGCTTTTCTCTTCTTTACCACACGTTATTTAATCCGATTACTTCTCGAAAAAACGAACCGAACACTTCCTCCGGGACCGAAAGGGTGGCCGGTTGTCGGTGCTCTTCCACTGTTAGGTTCCATGCCCCATGTCACACTGGCCAAATTAGCCAAAAAATATGGACCTGTAATGTACCTCAAAATGGGCACATGCAACATGGTGGTGGCATCGACCCGGACGCCGCTCGAGCTTTCCTTAAGACCCTTGACTTGAATTCTCTAATCGGCCACCGAATGCCGGTGCCACCCACTTAGCATATGATTCGCAAGACATGGTGTTCGCCGAGTACGGTCCGAGGTGGAAATTGCTCCGTAAACTAAGTAATCTCCACATGCTCGGTGGTAAAGCCCTTGAAGATTGGTCACAGATCCGAACTGTTGAGCTAGGCCACATGGTTCGTGCAATGTACGCGTCTAGCAAAAACGGGGAGGCGGTCGTGGTGCCGGAGATGTTAACGTATGCAATGGCCAACATGATTGGTCAAGTGATACTAAGTCGACGAGTTTTCGAGACCAAAGGATCAGAGTCGAACGAGTTCAAGGACATGGTGGTGGAGCTCATGACATCTGCTGGGATCTTCAATATCGGCGACTTCATACCTTCGATCGCGTGGATGGATTTACAAGGAATCGAAGGCGAGATGAAATTACATAAAAAAGGGATGTTTTGTTGACGAAGATGATGAAAGAGCATGATGAAACAGCTCATGAACGCAAGGGAAAGCCTGATTTTCTTGACATAATTATGGCTAACAGAGGGAACTCTGATGGGGAAAAGCTTAGTTTGGTTAATGTCAAGGCGCTCCTTTTGGTAAGTCTTGTTTTTGCATAGTTAAGTTTTTCTTTATTCGATCTATTAATCGACTAATCCGGAACGAGTACTACAGAATCTGTTCACAGCCGGGACAGACACGTCCTCAAGCATCATCGAATGGGCATTGGCTGAAATGATGAACAATCCTAAAATACTGAAGAAAGCTCACGAGCAGATGGATAAAGTGGTGGGAAGAAACCGAAGGCTCGAAGAATCCGACATACCGAAACTCCCCTATCTTCAAGCCATATGCAAAGAAACGTTCCGAAAACATCCATCAACTCCGTTGAACTTGCCTCGAGTTTCGACCCAAGCTTGCCAGATAAACGGCTACTACATCCCCAAGAACACTAGGCTCAGTGTCAACATTTGGGCCATCGGTCGAGATGCCGACGTGTGGGACAATCCACTCGATTTCTACCCCGAGAGGTTCATGAGTGGGAAGAACGCCAAAATCGATCCACGAGGGAACGATTTCGAGCTGATTCCGTTCGGTGCCGGACGAAGAATCTGCGCCGGGACCAGGATGGGGATCGTGTTGGTTGAGTACATTTTGGGCACGTTGGTCCACTCTTTCGACTGGATGGTTCCTGCCGGGACAGGGGAATTGAACATGGACGAGGCCTTTGGACTTGCTTTGCAGAAGGCTGTGCCTCTCTCTGCCTGCCTTCGCCCGCGCCTCGCTCCAAATGCTTATGTTTCCTAAGCCTAATAATGCTCCTTTTGTCCTACTTGTTTTACTTGCTTCTCTTTGCCTTGCATTTTGTTACAATAAAAAGTCTACTTTTACTTCTATATTCGTGTCATATTCAGCATGTGGATATTATGGTAAAATATGTAGAGATTTTTCGATAATTAGTTGGTCTACTAAGATAAGATGTTAGGTCTTTTAATAAGGTTAGGAGTTTGAATCGTGACGAGCAAATTGGATTAAGAGGATTGTTCCCATATTAAGCCTATACAGTACCTAGGACGGATACTGATAATTATACACACACAAAAAATCGACAAAATCACTCAAATAATGAGGTGAGAAAAATGTTCCCCAAATAAGGACAAACTAGATTTATTTTCTCAAATAAAGTGTTCTCTACAATGGGTCGGGAAAGACTTATAGACCACTAGTCATCTTCATGGAGATGTAAGGAAGACTCGACATCTTTTCAACCTCCGTGCATGACTTTGGGTACTAGTCGATTTTTTTTTTAGGATTTTGGTGATGTTTGTTGAAGCAGAAGGTGTAGAAACTAATTTGAGCATCATTTGTGATGCTTAGGAAGACGAAGTGATAAGCACATGAAGACATTGTGTCTTTTGGATATTTTTTAAAGATGCTAAATAATCTCAATGATTTTCAATGGACACTGTAACATTCACCTTATTAAAAAAATAATTTCTTTAACTCTCTATGTTAACAAATTCATTTTCCCGATATATAACTTAAAAACTGACCCGATCCGAAATAATAAAAGATATTATTTTTATTCAATAAAATCAGTGACTTAATTGAAAAAATAATATATAGATGGGTATTATTGTAATTATTCCTAAATATATAAGGTAAAATTATATATTTTTTCGAGTCGGGTTGGATCGAATATTTTTTACCCTAAACCCGAACTCGATCCGAACCAACCCGAACCCGAATTTTTTTTAAAAACCCGACCTGATCAGGTCGGGTCGGGTTCGGGTTCCATGCCCAACCCTAGATAGAGATAACTAATTTGATTATAAAAGAAGGCTACACTATATGAATGACCACTTAACTATGAGGTAGGTGTCAATATGACAATTGTTTTCAAATTCTCGTCAATATGACAACTTAATTATTTAAAATATAGTCAATTGTCGTTGATATTTGACGAAAGTAATAATGTTCTAGTTAATAAAATTTGTATGATTATATATTTGATCCTCAGTAGTTACATATTTATCAATTTAGTCTTAGTTTAATTTAATTCAAAAAATAACACATCCAACAAAGAAGTGTCATGTGTCAACCGGATATTTTGACACATGTTTATAGTAACACGTGTCACCACCAGATTAGAGACTTTTTAATTAATTTTAATATTTTATTCAATTAATTTTTCCACCAATTAGGTAGTAACACATGTCACCACCAGTTTAAAAATAAAAAGAAATGATAAAAAAACATCTACTAATTAGTGGAATTGAACCAAGGTCACAAACAATCATGTGCGGTCATGCCTCTACAAGTAAGTTAAACCCAACATTTAGTTTAAGTTATACAATCTTTTTTTATTTGTTTTAAATCATGACATAGAAAATCAATTAAACAAATATAATAAATAAATAAATTATATATAATTAACGCAAGATTTAAAAACAAAAATGAACTTAATATTTTATATTTTTATTAAATTATTTTTTCATAATGATTTATAAATAATTATAAAATTAAAGTAAATGAAAACCAATTTTAAAAATATATAAAAAAAAAAAGATCAGATTCAAATTATAAATTTGTTTGATTATTTTAATTTATTTTTTTGGTTTTGGATTCTCTAAATAATTTTAATATAATTATATTTTAAATATAATTCATATATAAATATTTGAAAATAATTGTAAAAATAGAAAAATAATAATTTAATTTATAATATAAAAATATAAAATCAATTTTATTTTTAAACCTTGTATTACCTAAATTATATATATATATATATATATATATATATATATATATATATATATATATATATATATATATATTATATATATATATATATATATATATATATATGTTTGTTTTAATAATTTTTATGTCATGATTTAGAAACAGATAAATAAAACATTGTATAATCAATATCCAATTCAATTCGGTTTCCATTTTTCCATATGAAAATCGTTTGAACCGAATTAAAAAAAAGAAAATAAGTATCCAAACACATTCATTTTAAATTTATTATAAGATAAATTTAAATAAATAAAATATTAGACTAATAATATTTTTTATAAATTTAAATTTATATATTTGCAATCGATTTAAACTTTAAAATTTTTTTTGGAGGTTGGATTTGAAATTTTGTGAACAGTTAAAAATGGCTAACCTGAATTGAACCGAAAATTGTGATTTTTATACCATTTGATCCCATTTTCAAAAACAAACAAAAGACTGAACAGAATACACTGCTTCTCGGTAATCCGTCTACTCCCACTTGGCTATGATGCTTTGGCCGCATTTGTTAAATGGGACAATAACAATTTTGATCCCTATCAACAATATAATTTACTTTTAAAATAAAAAATTTAAAATTTTATTTCGACCTCGCCAGAACTTTGCATAGAATCGCGCTCAAAGAAAAAAAAAAATCAACCCAAGTGCTTATCTTAGAATTTTGAATAGAATTTTATATTATCAAACTGATTTCTAGTGTTTTGATGTTATTAAAGTGAGATTGGAACCATTAAAATCAATAAATTTATACATTCAATGGTTATCTACATAGAAAGTGTCGAAACCTTGGATCCTAAAGTATCGAAACTAGTACAAGAGTTTTAAACTCTAGTAAAAGTATCGAAACTTTCAAGTACTGTAGATAAGGTCCATAAGGAGCATCGGAACTTCTCTAAGAGTTTCAAGACTCTTAATAGTTTCATGTGACATATGATACCCGATCTGAACGGTCCGATACAAATGTCAAACGTCACATTTGTCATCAAAGTGACTTGGTATGAATGTGCATTTAGGGTTACTTTAGAGCATGATTAAAAACAAAAAATTTCATTCATCGTACAACTCAATCGTATTATAACGTCTTGGATTTCTAAGTCAACGAATATGAACCAGTGTGAGTCGGTGGTTAGAAACGTTAGACCGAAAATGGGCATAATCGGATATGAATTAGGCACAACTGACCAATAAAAAGATGATTTTTGATGTGAGAGCAATTGAAGAGGGACCAATAGAGTGATTAACCCATTGCTCAAAAAGTTGACTTTTATTAATATTTGCTTATGCCAACTTGGTTAGACCTGTAATCGAATCGAACGAACAAGAACGGAGATATGTTCATGCTCTTTTGACCTCCACGATGTTCGGCTGCCCCGTCAAATGGTGCATGATTTGCACTTCCCTTCTAGCATCCTCCATGTCTTCCTTGTTCGTCAATTTTCTCTTGGTTATCGTCTTGCACGCGCGCGAATTGTTCCCCGGTCGTCTTGTGCATGCACAAATGCGTGACCCCGAACTGATCCCTGCCCAATTCTTTCCCGATGTTGTAGGTCAATTTAACGTCTTCCATCGGTCGGCCTAAGACGGTTCTCATGGCGGAAGACGTGGAATTGGATTGATAGTGGGGGAATTTAGGATTAAGGGGTGATTTAAATCATGTTGGTTAGACGCAAAGGTATAGATGATTTTTTCGGACCAAGATTGTGTGTTTCTTTAACGACTTCCATTAATGGCTGGAAAATAAATATGAAAGCTACTGAATTTCAGTTGCCTTGAACTGTTTGCTGTTACTTGTTTCGTAATAACTATGAAACAAGTTCCTGATACAACCGTCGTATCTTAATATTTTTTAAGATCATCACGACAATACAATACAACCATATTTAAGGGCGGATCTAGAAATATTTTTTAAGGCGAGTACGTATATATTAACAACATAAAATCTTGAAATGGGGTGTATACAAATAAAATTTTATGGTAGGCACCGTCAACAAAATAAGTAACTAATCAAATAAAATTCAGATTTCAAGATGGACACGAAAAATTTCAAGGCATATATTATCAATAAAATGAGTAATTAATCAAAAAAAATTTAAATTTCAAGGTGGACACATCAAGTTGTGACTCCGCCACTAACCATATCTGTAATATAAGAAAATAATTATTTTTAAAAAAATAAATCATAATTAATTTAGTTATATAGTTTTGAGGGTTTTGATGTTCATTTCATGGAAAACATGAATCACTGTCCTAACAACATCAGTTTGGTAGAATCACCGGTTTCTCTTCTTTTACAATTGGTAGGGTCGAACTTAACAGGTACGACAGAGGTGGCTTTTTCTCAACCAATTTCAAAGTATCATGTCAGTTACGGATGACAATTTAACCTAAATCAAATCGGTTCCGATCAGACTTAATATGATAGGATCAGATTTTAAAAAAATCGTATTAGAATCAAATCGGTGTCAGATTTTTTAAAAGGTGAGGTCGGGTCTAATAAGATTTATTCTCTAAAAATTCAAATTAGATTGGAGTTGGGTGTGTGATAAATATTTTTTGGGTTGGGTAGAGTCAGATAAAGGGTATATAATTTTCGAAATGGATCGAGTTCGGGTGAAGGATATATATTTTTGACTTGAATCGGGTTGGCCAAAAACCCAACCCTAACTTGACCCGTTGCCATCCCTAAAGTCAGCTGGTTTACTATTCAAATATTACATAAGATATTTATAAATTTATAACTAAAATAAAATAAATAAAATTAATATTAATGTACACACCAGATGGTATTGAATTTTGGGTGTTATATTATTGAATTTTTAATTATTTTAATTTTAAATCTATTTAATATATTATTTTATCTTTAATTAATTAATAGGGAGATGACGTGGACGATAATTATTGATGTGGATGTTGAAACAAAATGACATTATTTTGGTATAACTATTTTGATATCTTAAATGACCCAAATGATATATAATATTTATAAAACTAATATATAAATCTAATATATTTATGTAAATAATGTTTAATTATTGTAAAGGAAATTTTAAATAATATCTATAAGATTAATATATGGGTAAAGTATAGTAATGGT